GTGTGTGTGTGTGTGTGTGTGTGTGTGTGTGTGTGTGTGTGTGTGTGTGTCAAAGAGCTGAGCTGGGTTTGAGTCCTGGCCCTGAACCATCCCGTGTAAATTGGACCTGGAGTTAAGATGAAATCATGATTCCTCACTGGGCATAGCTAAGTGATGGTTGCTGTGTAAGACCCTGTGGTGCTGGTGACTTAGTCCCCTTCTTCGCTTAGGGCTGCCTCTGTCCCACATTCTTCTACTTGGGGTAGCCTGTATTTTCTTTTTCCTCCTTTGAAATAACAAGTTTCAAACACACACTCAAGCCAACTGTACCCCTGACGTCACAAATTGTCTGGGAGCACGGCGACCTTACCCAAGGCTCTCATCTGTGCACAGTCTATTTCAGCCACCATTTCTCCTGTAATTGTATCTCTAATAGGTAAGGGTGTTAAAAACACAAAACCTCTGTCATCACGACACCCACCAACACTAGAGGTTCTCCCTGGCCGTGATCAATGCCTCCTTTATATTTACTCCCTGACCCTGTTGCCTCAAAAGATGCCCCTTTCCTGTTGATGTGTTAGGATCAGGGTCGCTCAAAGGTTCATGTTCTCTTGTAAAAGCCTCTTAGGTGTTTGCACATCAGCCTGCTCTGACATGTTCTGTTTTCTGTGGAAATGCTAGAGCAATGAGGAAGTCACTGCTTTCTGAGAACCTCCTGCCTGCTTCCCCAAACCCCAACAATGCAAAGCAACCCTTTCCTTGAGAAGGAATGTTTTTACATCTATCTGTCTGTCTATCCATCCATCTATCCTCTCCCTCCTCTGTGTGTGTGTATGAGAGAGAGAGAGAGAGAGAGAGAGAGCGCATGTGGCCACACAGGTGCCACTCCTGTGTGTTGAGGTTAGATTACAACTTGCAGGGATTCGTTCTCTCCCTCCACCAGGTGTGTTCCAGGAGATCAAACTCAGGCTTGACAGTGGCTGCAGCCACCTTCTCCCATTGAATCATCTCACTGGCCTTTGGGGTATTTTTAAATGACAAAAAGAACTTCCTTACAGCCCTTTGACATAAACAGTTTTTCTTTCTCTCTTGTTAGCTTTTCCTCCCTCCTTCCTTCCCTCCCTCCCCTTTCCTGTTTTGCAGCCTAGGCTGACTTTGAACTGATGGCAACCCTGCCTTTGCTTCCCTAGGACTGCAGGCATGTACCACCTCACCTAGATTTCCCTAACAATTTTCAAATTCTAAAAATCATTTCTAGTGCAGTAGAAAGGCAAGATTTGATATAGTTCTGAGTTTAGAGGGTAAAATTTTCTGGCAACTTAATTTCTTCCAGGAATATCTTTTTATGCCCTCCCACCTGCTTTCTGAAATCCACCAACCACAATATTTACTCCATCCCCCTTTTTCTCCTTTTCCCTTACACACCACCCCCCTCTCTTTTTAGCAGCCACATACAAGTCGGCCATATTAGAGAGATGGAAATAAAGCTTCCTTAATGTTGTATGTGTATTTGAAGTACATCCGTGCATTTTCTTTTTTAGCATCTAACCATTCCTCCCTTGTGGTCCTTGGTCCCTCAATCACCCTCTCCCATAGCCCACCCGCCTAACATCACAGTCTCTGAAAATGCACAGGGATGCCTGGCTACCTCGCCCTGCCTTCAGTCTCACGGGGCTCAGTCTGTTTTTCTCTTTGGGTAAGTTAGAACCACATCTGCATGCTCTTAAGGGTCAGAAGCGCAGCTGCAGCTGGAAGAGGGGGGCAGGGGGCAGGTGGGAAGGAAGAGCGGGAGTGTTTCCCTCAGTGTCCTTGGGAAGGGGCGTGCTGGGCATCGGGACAGCCGGGACTGCAGGATGCTGGACTACTTGGTCATATAAATATTGACTGGGGGTAGGGGGCGGTGAGTGTTGCTTGGGGATGAAAATGATCACAATTATCAAGAGGTTTTTTTTTTTTTTTTTTCCTTCTTCCCCCACTTTGGATTTCCCTGAAGTAGAGTTATGTGGGGGTGGGGTGGAGCGAGGCTGCTCTGCAGTCTCTTCAGGGTTATTATCATCATTATTAGTAGTATTAGTGTTGTTATTATTTTCATTTTTAGCTGTTTCCGATGAGAGCTCGTTAGGAGTTGCCGGCTTATCTTAAAAGTCTCTTTCGAGAGCCCCGTTCCCCGGAATCCGGTGGGTTTAGAGGGTTAGGAAGGAGACAGTGCTCTCTGGAGAGTTGGGGGGCAGAGAGTTGAGTCTGTCCCACCAGTGGGTTGGGATGTGTGGGAGGATGCGGGGATCACGTTTGCGGGTGGGCTCTGGGTTGGGAGGAGAGACCCCAGAGCAGCTGCTGTGGGAGCAGGCACCCTTGGCGTGGGCTGGCTAGAAGGGAGGAGAGGTCAGGTGTCCAGGATCCAGGGAAAAGGAGAAAAATATACACAGGGAACCTATGGAGGGGCATGGTTTGGTCTTTTAAAACCAGTCTTAGAATGGTCCACCCCAGCCTTGCAGACCACCCAGTCATACGGTCCCTAACCAAGTTCATATTTGAACACCAGAAACTTCATGCTAGGCAGGTGGCTTGGAAGCTTTTTTGTAAGTGTGCACCCTCCCACTCTGCCCTCTCCCCCCCCATTCCCAGATAAGTCTTACTTTGTAGTCTTGGCTGGCCTCGAACTTTCAGTGATTCTCCTGTCTCTGTCTCCTCCTGGGTGCTGGGATTATAGACAAATGCCACCATGCTGGGGTCTAAACCTGCCCCATTGGTGGTTTTATTCTTGCTCTTAAAACTCCCTCAGCGGTGCCCAGGGGTCAAATCTAAGGATCATAGGTGGGAATATGCTCCATTACAAACTCTCAATCTCTGTCTCTCTGTGTCTCTATCTGACTGACTGTCTCTGCCTCTCTTGCTGTGCTAGGTTCTCTCTCTCTCTCTCTCTCTCCCCCATGCTGGGTACTGGGCCACAGCTCTAGGCAGAGACATGAAGCAGCCCTGGTAGCCTGCACAGTAAGAACCTAACATCTTCCTTCCCGTGGGATTGGACTGAAGCTTAAAGCTACCTTTGTTCTTTACTTCATAACCATGGGTCGGATGCTACCCACCCTGAGCACCACTTCTCTCATGGGTGACTGGAGACTGTCTCTTGCTTGGTGAGCTTGTGACCTGATGCACAGCAGGGACTAACAGGGACAGACCTTTCTGAACGCTTCCCAGGAGCCCTGGCATGGCATATTTTGTTTAGCCCTCACAGCAGTTATTTGAGGCAGATACTATGATTCTATTCATGTTCTAGGGCGGAAACAGAGGCATGGAGAAGTTAAGTAATTTATTCAATCAGGTCATGTGACTAGCATAAGTGGGCTGAGATTTGAACTCCCACGTGCCTGATTTACCACATTCTCTTTTAATATTGGGACCTACTGCCCCCAGAGGTCAGGAAATGGTACTGCTCTGTTTAGCATTAGACTGGTGGGTGAGCTGTCTCAAATGCGGGCTCAGAGAGTGGATGAGTGATCTGCACAACAAAACAAAACAACAACAACAAACAGAGTGTCCTCTCAGGAGTTAGCCACAGCCTCATGCAGGGGGGAGGCTGTTTGTGGCAGCCATATCTAAGTGGACAAGGCCAGGGGCCCTGGCAGCCAACCTGGGCTTGAGGGAGATGCAGAGGCCTGTTCATGAGGGCTGCAAGGGGGAACAGAAAGAAGCAGGTGTTTCAACAGGCCTGTGAGAGTGGAAAGCTTGAAGCTGCGCAGAGACATGCCTCTGGCAGCTCATACTCTTGGCAAGGGAACGTGGGTGGCTGGAGTTGCGCTGGTCACCGGGATGGACGGAGGCCACGATATTAGGTGGGGCAGAGTATCAGGGACAGGGCACGTGGGGGTGGCTGTAAAGGTGGTAAGCATATATTCCCAGAGTGCTTCTCAAGACCATCAGTTCTTCAGCCTCTGGCCTGCCCTTCGAGGTCTGGACTGTATTTGAGGGAGCCTAGAGAGTGGAGCGTGGCCTCACTCAGTCCAACCGCACACTCTGCTGCTAAGGGCAGTACCTAGAGAAGGAGGAGGAAGCCTCCTCCCCACCTCTCCCAACCTCGGCAACAATCATCACTGAGCACTTACTATGTGCTAGATGCCTTTCTGGATGCAGCGAATGAGAAGGAGTTCACCAGAGCCTCTTGAGAGGCCCAGGAACATAAACAACAACTCAGCATTGTATGTGCTAATGCTAGAAGTCGCCTTTGCCAACAGCTGTGTGCCAGGCACTGTGCTGGGCTATGCACATACAACAAGTTATTTAATTGTCCCAATAGCCTCAGAAGGGTGCCCCCTATACTACAGGTGAGGACATGGCAGCTCTGGAAGGCTAAGGGTCTTGCCTAAGAGCTCAAGAGTCCCAGTCTTGAGCACTCCCCGTCACTTGGCCCCTAAGTTACTAGAAGAAATAGGAACCTGGCTGGGAGAGGACCAGACTCCAGGGAAGATGTTGCCAAGCTGCACCTTATGAGTGGGGTTTGGGGTTTATGGAGAAGCACTCCAGGGAGGAAGGTGAACAAACGTCTCAACCTAAAGCAAACAAGACAAAAACAAAAAACTAACCAAAAACCAAAGCCAACCCCCTCCCCCCAAACAAAACAAAGCAAAGCAAAACAAAAACAACAGACAATAAAACATGATCAGGGCCTGGCGGGAGGAAGGAAGAAGACAGTCATGTGAGGGATGAGGTCTGGCAGGAGATGAGGCTGTGATGAGGCTGGGTCCCAGATGGGAAAAGGCCAGGGCACATGATTGTAGCTTGGTTCTAGCTGCCTGTGGAGGAGACCTGGGCAGGAGGATCTGAGCAGAAAGGCAGGAGAGGAGGTGGGGTTAGTTGTCACATTAGCCTGGGAGGCTAAATGTCCCCTCTCCTCTTCCTCCTCTTTTCCCTCCTTCCCTCCCTCGTTTTCTTTTTCTTTTCTCAAGAATAAAACAAACTTATAGATTGCTTTAGGGCTAGAAGGAGGAGCAAAGGGAATTTACTTCCAGTCTTTAGAAGAGAGTGTTTGGCACATGAGCCCGGTTGCAGGGTCTCTGCACAAGTGGTCTGGGAGAACAGTGGGTGTCCACCCTGAAATGACAATAACACCCTGCCCAGCTCCGGCTCCTCACCTCAGCCTTGTCTGCAGCCAGGTGGCATGGATTCAGGTTCTAGTCCCATTAGTTCCTGGGTGTGAAGTTGGGCTAGTCACTTTACTTCTTCGCGCCTTATTTCTTCGGCCAAAAGTGACCTGACCGGCAATAATGCTTGATGGTTCTGTGCCCTCAGCGAGGTTTCTAGGGAACACTGAGATGTCTGCAGCGCGGTGGGTGCCTGGGGCCCATCTATTTTACAGATGCACCAGGATCTTCTCAGCTCTGGCTTCGACCAATGCTTTCCTGAACTTAGTGAGAGCCTAAACTGGTGGGAGGTTCAGGCCTCAGCCTGGCACCCCTGAGATTCTCATGAGGTGGTGGTGGCAGTGGCGGTGTGGGGGGGGGGGAGGGGGGGTGACTCTTGGACCAGAAGATGAGCGCCATCTTCCTGGCTTTGGCTTGTCCTTGTTCTCAGGGTGTGTCTCAAAGCCCCTCTTTTCTCACGGGCAAGAGGATGGCACTAGAGCTACAACTCTGGAGGTCCTCTTTGCTCTGGCTTTCTTTAGTTCGGGGCTCCCTCCCCACTTTCTTCTCTGCTGATGGGACTTGAGCGTTCACATACATGACCACTAGAGGGCACACAAATCCCGTCTGGTGCCTCTTAACCCGCATTGCACCTTCCCCTTTCCCCTGCCATCAGCTTGGGGAAAAAAAAAAAAGCGCGCCTCTGGCTCCCCTTGCAGCTCTGCGACCTGACATAGCGGCAGGCTGGCTCCTTCTAGATGAGGGAGATGTGAAGTGACATTCAAGTTCAGCTGCTGGAGTGGGACAGGTGGAGGAGGGTGGACTTTATAGAGCCAGCTAGTTTTACAGAGCATTTTGGGGGTGAGGGGGGAGAGCTTGGAAGGTGGAAGCCCTTTCAAGGGAGGGGCCTGGAGGGATGGGATGCCCAGCATAGAAGGTAAACTGGGGACAAGCCTCTGTCAGTTCTTTTCCTCAGATTTTTCAGCCTCTGCAGTGTGGGGGTGGCATTAATATTTTCTGCACACGTCCTCCTTCCTTGGCACCATGCCAGGTACTTTTAGACTCTATATGAAAGTGCAAGAGCAGAGAGTCAGCTGGGCTTTGTTCCTCTTGGGAGAAGCCCCATCAGCTTTCCCAGCTGGTGTTCCCCTGGTGAGCATTCTGGAGTCATTGGCCCTGCAGGTGAGGTCCATAGGTCTGCCACATAGGCAGGGCTTTGGGGGGATTTCCAGGCCCGGCAGTCTTCCTGTCCTTAAGTTCTGAGCTTTTCAGGCCCTTTGTGGGGATGTGCTGAGCAGAAGGACACTCTGCACAGGCCTGGCTTTTCTGTTTGCAGGCAGCCGTGCCCTGCTTCTGGAGGTGGGGCCAGCAGATTTGTGAGGAAACCAGGATCCCACAAGCTGGCTCCTTAGCTAGATCTGAGGGTGGGGAGGGGAGTCCAAGCGAAGGGGTCAGTCTCCAAGGTACCGTCAGACCTAGAGACCCCCCCCCACCTCACCTTTTAAGCTCTTTCTCTTTAAGTTCCAAAGCAGAACTTAAGGAGAAGGAGGTTAATTACAGCCTCCATTTGCTGAACACCTAGCACTTATTTTAGTCAGTGTAACCACCCATCGACAGTGTCATGAGCTAGGTTTTCTGGAGGAGGAGGCTGAGGCACAGGGAGGTGAAGGCGTCTGCCTACGTTTCTCAATTGATCATCTTCGAGGCTAGAGCTGGAATGGAACCTAAGTGAGGTGGTGGGGAGGGGCATGTTTCACCCAGCAGGCATCCCGGGAACCACAGCCCATCTTTGAGCTCCCTGGAATCACCCCATATTCTACCCCTTGGCCTGGCCCATGGCCAACGTTGACCTCAGGTCTTACCATGTCTTGTTCTTTCCCAGCTGTGTGAAGATCAACCCAACCATTGGAATGAGGCCCTTGATATTCCGAAAATGGCTCCTCCCTTCTCTTGAGTTAGATGATGCCTGAATATCACTCTCTCAGAGCTTTGTCCTCTGACCGTGCTGCAAACAGCTCCCCTCTGCCGTACAGCAATCCTTATAAAGCCCCTGTTATGTAACACTCCAGACAGCCACATTTTTATTTTAGTTGTTGTCACTGTATGGCCCCTCAGCAGAACACAAGCCCCACAATGCAGTGACTCCCCCCTCCCTCTAGTGACAACTCCCAGGACCTAAGACTAACCACCTGGCACACAGTAGATAGTTTACATATATTTAGTAGGGATGTGGTTCTGTTGGAGGAGTGCCCGCCTACCATGCATGAAGTCTTCTATTTGGTCCCTAGCACGGAATAAACTGGGTGGTGCGGTGCACTCTTGTAATCCCAGGGGTGGTGGGTGAGTCAGAAGTTCAAGGCCATCCTTGTCTACATGGCTGGTTCAAGGACAGCCTGGGCTGCAGAAGGAGGCCCGCCAGACCCTTCCACCCCTGAATAAAAACAAAACACAGAACAAACAAACAAACAAACAAACAAAAAACCCACCACTAACACCACCCCCCCCCAAAAAAAAAATCACAAAGTAAAGAATGAAAATGAATGATAGAATGATGCTGAATGTCACTGCGGAGGGTTTGACCTGAGCAGTAGCTCTACCCCTGAGCTACTGCTCTGTAAGGGCAGCCCACCTGTCTTCCCTCAGCTCTTCTTTGCTTAGAGGACCCTGGTGGCACTTTTCTCAGTTGCAGCATCAGGCCTGATCCACGTCTGGTGCCTCATACAGGACTTGAAAGAGATTTCCGTTCCCACCCTGCCACCTGCCAGCTTGAACCAGCTTTTTGCCATAGTCTTTCCAGGATGACTTTTCCCAAAGAGGAGGTCATCGCCATAGGCCGATAGGCAACTCCTCAGCTGTCTATCCTTTTTTTTTTTGTCTGGGGATGTTAGTGCTTGTGCCAGGCATGCCCCTTGGAGACACTGACGCTTCCTTTGGAGGGGCTTTGACACCACATAGATGATCTGAAGTGGCTGGAGAAGAAGGGGAAACTGAGGCAAGGCCAGTGAAGCCTCTGGCAGGGAAGTGGCATTGGGGTTGGTAGGGACAAGTAGAGACGCAAGTCTACTTTTCTAAGTGGACTTAGAAAAGGCTGAGGCCAAACTTGGCTGTCCTTGGCCTGGTAGGCAGTTTGATGGCTCTGTGGCTCTGTTCTATACCTGTTTGGTCCCCCCTTTCCTCTTAAGGACCACATCTGGTGTCCATCATGTGCTTTGCCTTCCCAGCCGCAGCTGAGAGGAGCCCAGACTATCAGCCCCTAACTCTGCTCTGCCTCTCTGCCTTTGCTCCTCGCTGGCTGGCCATGGAAGGGTTGAAACCTTCCACCTCTGTCACCAAACATCCTCATCAGGTTGTGGTTTCATCTGCAGTGCCCCCGGGGCGGAGCATGGAGGTCACAGTCCCCAGTACTCTCAGTGTCCTCAATGGGTCTGACACACGCCTGCCCTGTACCTTCAACTCCTGCTACACCGTGAACCACAAGCAGTTCTCTTTGAACTGGACTTACCAGGAGTGTAATAACTGCTCGGAGGAGATGGTAAGTCCTGGTGGAGGAGGAGGTGGAGGGAAACAGGAGCCCCAAAGCACGAAGCCCAGCACTCCCATCCCTACTCCTGCTTTGACCCAGGGCCCCAGAGGACTCTGGGTGGGCTGTCTGAAACAGAGGGCATGATGTCACAACTGGATGACCCTTCTGAGGCTAACCCCCTTTCTTTCCCTGTGGAAAAAGAGAAGCAATGGGAGAGGGTGGTCCCCGTGATTCTCATAGCTCCTTGTTCACCCAGCTGCCCACGCTCTCTATACCTGCCCCCAGTTCCTCCAGTTCCGAATGAAGATCATTAACCTGAAGTTGGAGCGTTTTGGAGATCGTGTGGAGTTCTCAGGGAACCCCAGTAAGTACGACGTGTCAGTGACACTAAAGAATGTGCAGCTAGAAGATGAAGGCATTTACAACTGCTACATCACCAACCCACCTGACCGCCACCGTGGCCACGGCAAGATCTACCTGCAGGTCCTTCTAGAAGGTAAGAGTGACCGGGCTGCTGAAGAGACACTGCCCCTTCTCCACAGTGTAGCTCAGGGCACTTCAGGAAGGCTGTGACCCCATCTCATCTTCAGGTGCTGGTACTGATGGAAGATATCAATGCCTTCCCTCTGGTCCTTGAAGGAACAAGTCAGCCATGATCATAACCTTAATAGCAATAGCTCTCATAGGCTTTACCTCATTTCATCTACACAGAACCCACTGAGAGGCGAGCTCTTATGCCCACTGTATGGATGAGGAAACTGAGGCTCAAGAGCATTTCTTTTTTTTTTTCATTCTTTGTTTGTTTGTTTGTTTCTTTTATTCATTCATTCTTTTTTTTTTTTTAATTGAGACAGGGTCTCTCTATGTAGCCTTGGCTACCCTGGACTTGCTTTGTAGACCAGGCTGGCCTCAAACTCACAGCTATCCACCTGCCTCTGCCTTCCAAGTGCTGGGATTACAGGCGTGCACCGCCATGCCCAGCTTCCCAATTCCTAATGTCTACAATCTAATTTAGATCTAATCTCAAAGTCTATTTTAAATATTCCATTCCGGGGGTGGAGAGGCTTTTTGAGGAGACGTGAGGGTAGGGACACTTCGAGGTCAGTGGTCTAGGTTGCTGTGAATTTGGCTGGTGCCCTGTCCTGGAGAAGGGTCAGATCAGACCCCTCATATTTTGAAGAGCAGTGGCAGCAGAGGAAGTTTCCCCCAGCTCCATGATTTCTGCTTCCTTTCCCCCAGTGCCTCCAGAGCGGGACTCCACGGTGGCAGTCATTGTGGGTGCCTCCGTCGGGGGCTTCCTGGCTGTGGTCATCTTGGTGCTGATGGTGGTCAAGTGTGTGAGAAGGAAAAAAGAACAGAAGCTGAGCACAGATGACCTGAAGACTGAGGAGGAGGGCAAGACGGATGGCGAGGGCAACGCGGAAGACGGTGCCAAGTAACTGGCAGCCTGCCCTGAAGCCCCTCCCCATGTCCTGTCTCCTATCACTCTCTTGCCCTATCCAGTGTGACCCTGCCTGCTCTCTCTTGGTGTGCTTCTCTTGAATAGGACCCCAGATCTGGGGCCTCACTTCCCATCCCCCACCCCCATACCAAGGGTGACCTCCCTCCCTTCCATTTGAAAACTGCCTAGGTGTCCCAGGGAGAACTGAGAAGGGCTCCAGCCTGTCAGTCTTTGAGGAAGAAAGACACACGTGTGTGGTCCCAAAGGCAGGATGGGGGAGGGAGGATAATGGGAGAAGAGATCAGCTTCCCATCTTGTCTAGGGTTTGGTCTGGTGTCAGTTTAAACTGTGGGGGTGGCAGCGTATGTGTGGTGGTTCTGTGCTGACCAGAGGCGCCATGGGAAGGACTCATGGTGGCTTTGCTGTGTTCCTCTGGCTACTCCCAGCCCAGAACAGCCATCAGGCTGGGGATGAAAGTGGGGTCCTACCATTTGCGGGGGCATTCTTTAAAAACGTGACTGTGCATTTCCAGAGCACTAAAAGAAAGCCAGGGCTGACACATTCCTGGTCACGAGCCTTGGCCCAGAGGACTCTGTTCTGGCCTCATTTCTATCACTAGCCGCTTCCAGAGAGGCTCTGGTTCACTGTTGACTACTGCTCCTTTGGGGATGCTGGCAGGAGCAGTACTGGAAAAGTGGCATCGGGTAGGATCAGACCTTGCCCTCCATCAGGAGACCCGAATTGAAGTCTGCTGGGGGACTGAGGAGTGTGGGTGAGGGTTTCGTTGCATACTGGCTGCCTTCTCCTACAAGATGGTCACTTTGGCTTCAGCCAACAGCACCCAGACTCAGAACTAGGGTGGGTTGGGCTGGTATTGGGGGCACCTTCCTACAGGGCTTTAGTTTGGGGGTTTCTGGTTGCCCTTGGCAGGGTTTCCATCTGGCTTTTGGCAAGAAATAAAAAAGAGAAAGCTGGAAGGAAATGTGAGATCCTGCAGGAAGAGCCTTTGAGCCCCGCCCCCAGAACTCCCTTTGTAGGGGAGAAAGTCGCCCTCATGGGACGCCAACTTTCACTGCCGTTTTATTATCTTGTAAGGAACTTGTTGAAGTCCAGAGATGAGGAGGAAGGCAGGGTGGAAATGGCTAATCAGAGAGCGCAGTGTTGGGAGGTGCTCAGAAGAGAACTAGCCCAGAGCCTCCTAGAGATGGAGAGGCTGAGGTTCCAAATGACTGACAGAAGCTGAAAGCATTGCCAGGTTCTGGCTCCTTGGTCCCCAATTAGAATAACTAGAGCCTCCTGGTGGGAGAACCTCAGGCCTAAGAGGTGTTTGTGTGTGATGGTGGTGGTAGGGTTCATCTGGCCCTGCCTCCCTCCCAGGAACTCCGCCCCTACTAGCTCAGGGAGTTAGCTGTCCAGGGTAGGAAATGAATGGTGGAGACGGGACCATGACAGTCTCAGGGACCAATACTTGCCTCTGCTTATCAGATAGCCAACCAGAAGAGACAGTGATAGCAGATGGGAGGTTCAGCTTCCTTCACTTCAATTCAACAACCATTTATTGAGCCTAGGCTCTATGCCGGGCACTGTGCTGGGTGCCAGGGGTGCATACAAAGCCATAACAGAGTCAGGGACTGCCAGATCTGCACTGTAGGACCAAGGTTAATTTTTTGGTGCATCTACTTCCACCTCTGTAGCTGTAGCTTCCACAAGAGAGCCAGAGGAGAAAAGGAAGACAGTCTTGGGAAAGTAAGAGTGCAAAAGGAAGAGGGAAGAGACCACGGGGAGGGATGCAGCAGTCAGGTAGGTGGGGTACAGAGTAGGGGATGGGTAACCAGGCAGAGAACTCCTGGGTAAGGTGAATCTAACCCTTCTGGAAGTTCTAATCTCTTTGGCTCAGTATCTAACTGCCAATCAACACACTGCCTAAGCCACCAGGATGCCCAGAGCAGGTGGGTACTGCTTATCCTTCAAGCCAGCCCACTAGGGATCGAGAGATGAGTGGTGGGCACCTCAAGCCATCTGAAACCAAGGGCAGTGGTACAGAGTTCTGCAGCTTGGAGTTATCAGTTTTTGTCACCTTGCACATGCCCTCTTGTTCCAGGGGCCACTGACAAGGAGCTTTGCTTTGGCTGAGACTCATAACTTTTGGATGGGCTACTTGTGAGATACCCCAAGGTTTTTCTAACAGGCTGCCTCTTTAAGAAGCTGAAGCTGGGGTCTTTTTTTTTTTTTCTTCAGGTATTTGCCCTCACATGCACTTTCTTTTGGAGCCTCCTAGACCCTCTTTCAAGGCCTCCGGGCTTGAGTTTGGGAACAACATGGGGCTTCTGTGAGGTGGGGCGGGAAACTGTGAGATATTCCTGCAGGAGCCATTGCTCAAGCTTGCTTCCTAGCTTACGCCAGCAAACTGCTTGCTTGCTGCAGTGTGGGCTCTGAGCTTTGCTTCTGGCTGCATGCTCCCACCACTGTGCTCCCAACCATTCCTGCCTCTCCTGCCCTCCCAGAGCCCCCTCCATGCTTCCCTTCTGCCTCTGCCTCCCAATTAAGGGCCACCACATAGAAAGACGGGCTGGCTTAACCCGTGGGATTCAGTTTATGAGAACAAAGCACAATTTTTCAGGACTGAAAATCCTTGTGGTGCCTTGGAACTGGCTTTGGAAATAGCTGTCTGCCCCTCCAGTTGTGGGCTCATCAGTTATCCCCCGTTTATAAAATGGAAAAGCTGATTGGGTCCATGTTTCCCTATGGGTCTCCTTGGGAAAACTGGGCTGCTAAATATCTACAAGATTCAGTGAAGCAGATAGACGGGTAGAAATACTGGCCAGGTCCAGAGAAGTTAGTCCCAGGCCATAGGAATGGCTTGGCGCAGTTGGAACGGGTGATAAATAAAAAAAAAAAAAAAACTTTTTTTTTTCCTACATGTGTCTTAAGGATAGACAGCCTTGCTGTGCCTCTTGCTGATGTCTTCCTTTATCGAAGCTTGCTGCTGATGCGACTGTACATAGCCTTTCTATATAGGTAGAGATATATTATATACACAGATATAACACATCTCACTATGCCCACCCCAAAATTACACTGTGTGTGTGTGTGGGGGGGGCTGTAATCACATCTCAGTGTTTCCGAGTAGATTTACCAAAGGTTCATTATGGAATGTTCTTTATGCTTTTTAGGGGAGAACCCAGCTGCATAGCAAGAGCTTATGTACATCTAGGTTCTGTGTCCTGTTTGGTGGTAGGGAGGGGGAGAGATGCTTAAACAAATGGCCTTCTGTGACCTGACTGCTGGGAGCAGGCTGAGTTTCTTTAGCAGTTTGTCTGATTGTTTGGATCTACTGGCTGCAATAAACACACTGTCTCCCCCAAACATCTCTCTGGTGTGGTGGCTTTCTTCCCAGGGTGCAGACTGGGGTAGGGGAAGGCTTTGCTGGGAGCCAGATGAAAGCAAGCAACAAAGTCCATGTCAGAGACAGCCCCCGCTCCCCTTACTAGGAGACCCACATGAAGCCTAAAGCTCCTTTGCCATGATGCCATGCACACTGATGGGTGTGAAAAATCTCAAAGCACTTGCCTTACAGAGAAGAATGTAGTCTGCCTGGCCTGCTCTTGCTTTTCATCTATTTGTCCTTCCAGCCCCTGGAGGAATCTGCCCTCCACAGTAAGCCCTCTGAGACAGGTGACCAAGCACCCACTGCTGGAGAGACTTTCAGTTACGTCTGGGACGAAGACAACAAACACTCAAGCACCCAAGGCTGACTGCTCTGAAGATGCCACCTATTCTTTTCATAGACAGATGGGCCATCCTTCCTGCTCCTGGATTCTTAACAGTGCCTCACTAGGCAGACAGCTCTCATGCCTGCCCTGCATTCTGGAAAGAGAGAGTGACAGCTGGTCAGAGTGCCCCAGTGCAGCTTCAGGGGGTGCAGGGGGCGGGGAGGGGTGTTGGGAATGTCAGATGGGAAGTCAGGTTACCTCTGTCTCATTTGCATTTGTATCACTGTATCCTGTTTACCTAGTGCTGAATCAGCCTTAAGACATTTAAGGACCAGTGAGATGGCTCTGTGGCTAAAGGTGCTTTGGCACAAAGCCCAACTTGTGTTCCATCCCTGGGACTCACATGATACAAAGAGAGAACCAGCTCCTGGGCAAACACAGGCACATACACATACAAACTCAATATGTAAACAACGTCAAGACCAAGGCCAACCTTCTGTCTGGGGTCTCCACTGTCTAGGGACTTAAACTTTCTGAATATCAAGGAAAATTTATAAGCAATGGACCATTTTTTCCTCTCATATTTCTGCCTGTTCTCTGGTGACGCAGAGACCCTCCTTGGTGGTTAGTGGTCAGGAATATTCCAGGAATATCTCAGGACTAGCAGCCCTAATGCTTGTGACGGACACAGATGTTACCTAAGAGAGACCCCAGGAAGGAAGCAGCACTGTTAAACAAAGATGGCTGGCTTCAACAGAGCCAGAGGACCTTGGTTTAGGAGGGTGATTATTCCCTAGAGCCCCTGAGTCCTACTGAGGGTGGGATGTCAGAGACGGTGTCTTTGTTTTTGATGAAAAGAGAAACTGAGGCAAGAGACTGAGTAGAAGAGGCACTAGGGAGTCTGTCTGGTTCCTTCAGGGTGGACATAGGTCCCAGATGCTCAGTCACGTCACCATCATTCTCCACCACCTTTTGTTCTAAGAATACTTGGAAGGTTCAGACTGAGCCTGGCTTCTATAGAGGAGGTGGGGATTCAGATATTTATCCTAATTTGATGTCTTTGACCTGCTTGGGGTTGGATGGGATGGGATGGTTACAGCTCCAGTTGCCTTTGGGAAAAAGACTCCCCTCATCCTATCTCCTGCTCTTATTGGTCAGGTCACTGGCTTTCTGAGTTCCTCAGCCAGGCTAAGAGGACCAAACCAAACTGTTCCTTCACTATTCTGATGGGATACTTGTGACTACTTGTGGGATAGGAATCTGGACCACAGGAATGGAGCAAGCAATTTGATATTCACAACCTCGGAGAGGGGAGGCCCCACAGAATACACCCTCAGGCCTCCTCAATGCCATAAAGAGGACACAGAGGACCAGAATTTCCTTAAGGCTGGATGTTGAATCAAGAATAGAGAGGGTCTTGTAGTGGCCTCAAACACTGCCATGCTTTCTTCCTACAGCCCCCATCTAGTGCTGGGCCTACTACAGCTCAGCACAGCAGCCCACGACAGCCGAGCTCCTGCCCTGCCCCCTTCTAGTGGCCTACATTGGTATAGGAGAGGCTCATGCTTCCCTTAAAGGCCCAATTTTCAGAGCAGAAGTTCAGAGAAGGGAAGTCGAGGCTGATGGCATGGCTAGAGCCCAGGCCTTTCTTCTCCAGGCTGACCTGATGTCCATGGGCAAGACAGCTACTTTCCTTTAGTTCTGCTTCTCAGAGTAGGAATCCCATCATGCTCATTGGCCATTTATTGGTTTGTATGCCAGCTCTTCTTAGACTATGGATCTCCGACCCATCTGCGGGGGGGGGGCACCCATACACTTAGGTGGGAGGAACCCAGAGCAGGGCCTGGGGGGGTGCATACTACATGGATGACAGACGGACAAGCTCTCATTGTGCCTCCTGGCCTTCACACCTTCACCATTGTTTCCTCGGGGGCTCAGAAAGGTCCCTGTTTCTGGGACCTCTACAGGAACTCTTCTAGAGAGCCCTGGTGGCTTGCCCTCCTCCTCACAGAGTCTCACCCTGAATCTCCCAAGGTTCCAGTCATTTCTCATATCCAAGGTGCCAGCCACCTCTCAAGAGAGGCTTCAACCAGTGGGAGAGAAGTTTCAGGGACCCAGCTCCTGAGACCCAGAGACCCATATCTTGGATTCTAACATGGCATTGAGAGGGATCAGCCAAGAATCCCATTCTCACATAAGACAGAAAAGACCCCAGACTAAGAGGGAGAGAAAGGCTGTGGGTGGAGGAGGGAAAACAGAGGACCTGAGAATTGGGGAGTGGATGACCTGGTGATACAGTTCCCCCCTTCCCGGCAATAATGACCCTGAAAGTCTAGGAGGTGCTATGGGGAAGGGACCCGAACAGACCCTGGACACTAAGCTTGGCTGCTTGGGATTTCACGGGAGGGGAATCCCTTACAGTCCTAGCAAAACAACATTTATCCCAACCCCAGCAGCCCCTGCTTCTTAACTGGGTCTACAAGCCACTCGTCCCAGCAGACTGAGAGGTTCCTCCACCTCTACATGAGCACAAAGGCAGAGGAAAATGGTGTGCTTAGCCAGGAAGGCAAGTGCGCTCCCCAGCTGTTGGCAAACACGGTGGGGGAAGGCGGTGGCCACACGGATCACACTGGCCTTGTTCCGCTCAAGGAGAAACACTAGGACTGGCTGGCAGAGGCAGCTATTGATCCAGTGGAGGTCAGCTGTGCAGCCAATGAGTTTCCCAAGGTTTTCCGGATCTCCATTCCGGAAGGTATCTAAGCATAGCTTGGAGGGATCGTCAAGAAGATTCAAATATCAGATGGTACCCTTAGACAGTCTTTAAGACTACTGACGATGGCCCTCAAAGCCCTCACTTTAGGATTCACATGAGAGAGGCAGGATTAACCCTTGTTTGCTTTGGAGATTAATAACACTGATCCTAATCCCTTCGTCTTTCTCCTCAGCCACGATCTTCTCCAGACCATCTTCATACCTTTGTACCTGACTTTTTATACTGACTGATTGATTGTGCATTTGTCTGTGTGTATGCAAATGGCGGTCAGAGGACAACATGCCGGAGTTAGTTCTCTCCTTTCCTTCCACCACGTGGGTCCTGGGGGATTGAACTCAGGTTGCAGGCACACACTAAGCCCTCTCACCAGCCCTACTTATACCAGCCCTTACTGATATCTTCTTTATATGATTTAGAAGTGGTCAGAAAGCCCCTACACAGGATAAGAAAATAGGCTGGAAGATGATGAGAAACTTGAAGCCAGGGGCTTCTGTGGAGTTTCTTTCTGAAGATCGAGCCAAGTCTAACTTGATTTCTTTGGCCTGCCAGCCAGGATTCCCATGTCTTTACGAATAAGACTATACATAAAAGATAAAAAGTCCTCTCCCCTCCCCCATGGGCGTGCTGTGTCTTCTTACCTCTCCCAGGTTTGCCAGCGGGCCACATTCCTGCGGCTGTCTCGCAGTACTGGCCCTATTGGTAGGGCTTGAATGACAGCTGGCTAGACTTATATTAACCTCCATTATTTACTAAATACCTGCTGTGCCTGGCCCTGAGCTCGGTACTCTATGTCAGTTGAGCTTAGTCTAAAAACACAGCCCAAATGTTCATCCCTTTCTTATTTCTGCAGGTGAGGAAATAAAATTCTGCTGTAGTAGGCATATGTGCACACAAGGGGATGTGGCTAGGTTACTGCAGAGCTGACTTAAAGTCCAGGGCCATACAAAGCCAAGACCATCCCTGTATATCAGAAGGCCAGTGGACGGTCTTCGGTGCAAAGACTTAGGGGCAGGTGGAAGAAAGGTGAGTCGCTCCAACTTTAAAGTGTTCGTAGGTGATGTAGGGGTCAAAGGGAGCAGGGGCACAGCTTCCGCAGAGGCCTCTAAAGTCCTGTTTGAACTTGGCGCTCCGAAGCCCTAGTCCGGTCTGTACAGTGGCGGCCTCTGCTGGCCACCTTCTTCCCTCTTGGCCTGTAGCTCCTCCTGTTACTACTGAAAGCCTGAGTCCTTTTACCCTCCTGGCGTGAGCTCTCCCAGTCCCTGGCCCTCTCTCCTCAGCCTGTCACACTGTAACTTCCTGACTGCATTCAACCAGGTGAGATCCTCTTCCCCAACACACTCCAATGTTTCCTTTCCGCTTTCCCTCTTCCTTTTTCCTCCTCTCTACACCTTCCTCTCTCCTCCCCTGGCACACCTCCTCTCTTAGCTGCCTCCCTCACCCCGAACCCAACTAAAATGTTTGTGAAGAGAACAGGATTAGAATTTTTAGGGAGTGCTGCCTGAAACTGTATTTTTGCATTAGGTGCCCATTTGAAGGGCAGGACAGGGTCCTGGCTTCTAGGAGCGCACGTGGCCACTTCGTTAATACGACAGCCTCACAATGAACAGCAGCTGTGATGTAGGACAAACCTTCTCAAAGCCTCCACGCCACCTGAGCCCCCATCCGTCGCTGATAAGAGGGTAGGGCACTTGGTGACCCAGGAAACAGTTAAACGTAGCTCTGGGGTGCTGGGTTAGGGTGGCTAAGATTCTTCCCAGGGGTTTTAGACCCCACCCCAGTGTGTCCCCCAAGAAAGAGATGCCCAGGACTCACCCATCTCTGAGCTGCTTCTAGAAGTGGGCACACACCCCTCTCCAGCTTGGGACTGTCCGGCCAGCCTGTCTCCTCTCGGGATGGTTCTGCTCCCTCCTCCCTCTGCCCTCCTCCTTCCAATGAGCTCATCTGTCTGGGGCTCCCCATCCCCCTTTGCCTGAAAGGATGTTTGGACAAAACCTGGCAGAAGGCAAAGAAAGGAGAGATGCAGGGAGTCACTGTTTACCTGCCTATGCCCTGAGTCCCTAGGAAGTGAAGGCAGGTTGAGGAGCAAGGGAGAACTCTCCTTAAAAGGAGGGCTTAAGGAAAGTTTAGCTTTCTCCCAGCTCACTGATGCCCCAGGAGCTCTAGGAGTCCCGGCTGAACTGAGGTGGCCATGCGGCATCCTTTGCTGGACTGTTCAGCCACGTGCCTGCGGGTTGGTTTGGTGCATGCTGTCTTGTTAACTCTCTCAGCACCTGCCAAACTTCCGTGGCTGCTGAGAGAGTGGCTGAGTGAGGCAGCCACTCTGAGCCAAGGGGGAGGGGTTGTGAGCAGACTCGGATAGTATGGAATAAGGCTCCCAAACATTGGTCCAGACAGGACCAGCCCAAGACCCCAACCAACTGGCAGAAGAACTTGTGAGCTTTTAACTTTAATGCAGAGAATCTAGTTGCTCTGTCTGAGACAGGAGCCCTGTTCACAAGCGGGGTGGGGGGGTGGGAGGGATCAGGGTAGGCAAGATGCAGATGCAGCTCCTGGTAGAGATCCAAGACCTGAAGGGTGAGGATGTAGGGCCAGCGCCCTGCAGAACCCACAGTCAGTGTCACCCTGCTTCATGCCTGCAGTTACCTGCAGTGTCCTGAGAAGAGTGTGTGAGGGCTTCTGGGGAGGAGGCCAGGGAGGAAGGCAGTAGACAAGGGCAATGGGGGATGGGGGGGGTGGATGCCCTGCCAGGCTCCTGCAAACTTAGAAGAACGCCTTTCAAAATAACTCTGGGGACCTCCCCTTCCTCCTCCTCCTCCTGGTTCCTTCTCTCTCACACAGGGTCCCAGCCCAGGTGCTGGGAACTGAAAAGGGAGGAGGTCGCCTACCTACTGGCCAGGGTCACCTGTAGAGGGTGGTCCTGTTGAACTAGTGAGTATCTTGTGGTGTCAGGACTAATCTGAGGCCTCCGTTGCTGTGATCCTGCCTCCCTCTTTCAGTGACCCCTCTAGGTGCTCCCCTGTTCAAAAAATAGGACCCCCTTTCCTCCCCAACTCTAGCCTAGCCCTTTAGGAGGCTTAGAGAAATGGGCTTTCTGCTGAGTCAGTTGTCTGGTCAGATAGGATTTGGGGGCTAACCTACCTGAATTCCCAAGGAAGCAGCTCCTTCCATTTAAGCCTGGGCTCTTTCTGCCAGCTTGGGAAACGGATGCTTCTCTGACAGCTGTTTGGCTCTGGTCCAACCTATCTCGCTGTCTCTGCAAACTTCAAGGGATTTCTGAGCCAAACCACCCAGACCTGTGTGTGTCACCTGTTCCCAGGAATCAGGATTGCCAGGGACACTTGCTGGGCCTATTCCTCCAGACCCCTCCCAACCCCCGAAGGCACATTTTGTTTGCTCTCCTGTGACTACAGGCCTCTGAGGGGAGAAAGGAGTTGATCCGGTGGGACTCCTTAAGAGGTCCCCAAGGGTGGAGAAGGAACAGGTCCTTCCCCACCCTGTCCCTTGGCCTTCTCAGGAGGACCCTCTTAGCTCTGTAACTGCAGTGGCTTCCTGAGGTTTCTGTGTGGAACGTGCTCTATAAATGTAAAACCCTCTCAGCCCATGACGGCCTAGTGTTTCCCAAGCCCTTGTTCTGCCCAGCTGGGGGCTCTGCCAAGTGTTCAGAGAACAGCCAGGAGTGTGAAGCGTAGGAACCGAACAGAAGGGAAGCACCAACCCTGGATTTACCTGTGACTCTGTCAGTGACCTTGGCCCATACATACTTTTTCTTTGGCCCACCTATCCATCTGGGGTTGGGGTGAGGGCACGGTAAGGGCCCTTTCAGCAAAAGAATCAGTGGCACAGCAAGAGATCTGGGGGTAGGGCGCTCAGGGGAACTGGTCACCTCCTTCTGCTACCAGGGTCTAAAGATATCTCTGGAGTTCTGTCCCCCCTCCCTCCCTGTTTTCCGGGCAGGGGTCACTTTCTTTCCCTCTGGCTCACCTCCTCTCACCTCAGCCTACTGCTCAGAGAAACATGACCCTGTTGTAAAAATAACATGAGCAGTGTGGATGCCTGGCCTTGCTCCCATAGTGGAAGGCTCTCCCAAAGGTCAAGCCTCTCCTGGACATGGCTTCCCTCTGGGGCCCCAGGCTTCTTTGAACTTGGATGTGTTGTGGGTTCAGCCTGTATGCCTAGCACTCTGCTAAGCATGTTAGCATGTGTCTGTCTCTTCAGGTCTTCATATCTAGTTCTGTTTCCAATGTTGGCAAGGCCTGGAGCAAGATGCAAGCGCAAAAGGCACATCTGTCTAATTGTAGGTTATAAATCAGGGTAATCAGCCTGGCATGGTGGGGCACACACACTCCCAGCATTCAGGAGGAAGAGGCAGGTAGATCTCTGAGTTCTAGGCCAGCCTGATCTACATCAATGGTCTATAGGGCTACACGGAGAAACCCTGTCTCAACAAACCAAACCAACCAACCAACCAAACAAACAAAAAACCCCAAACCCTAACAACAACAACAAAAATCAGGACAGAAAGTAAAGTTTATCTCCCATCCTCTGTCTTTGACTGCTTTTCCTTGATGATCTAGAAGATCAGGCCCACGATGGGATTTTTTTCCAGCTCTTTCCTAGTCATCCTGCTTCCGTGGTTGGTCCTGCAGCAACATGGGGTCTAATACATCCACACCCAGAAACCGCCCACCTGCTCATTAAGTGTCTTCACACAGCTTCTGGGGGCCACTTGTTGAGTCTGTGGGCACACCCGTCACTTCAGAGGACATTTCAGAGGAGAGGAGCCCAACTCAGCCGCCCCGAAGAGGAGAGAACCGTTTAGAACCGGGAGGAGGTGTGTTCCCTGTATGGTACTCTGGACTCTTAGGCTAGCATGAGGTCCTCTAAAACTTTGAGGATGATGCTGGTTTGCATGACCTCAGGAGGTAAATATTGTGGGGTCACCATCCGGCGGACAGCATGGACTCCTCCACAAAGTTATTTGTCTTTTTATTTTAGAGTTCTCCAGCCGCAAGCGCAGGCAGAGAAAACAGCAAGGTTCTCCCCGCCGACAATTAACGTTTTGCGTACCATCTCAAGGGTCTCTTATGGCGCTGAAGCCTACTAGGGACTCCAGTTTGGAAGATGGGCGGCGGGTGTGGCGGTGTGCCTGCCGCAGAGAAGGAGGCTGTACCTCCAAGGTCTAACTGGTCTCCAGTAGGGGGGAGGATTTGTCCCGGAGGGCGGGTGGGGTAGCTGGCTAGGTATCTTGAGGAGGGGCATCCCTGGTGTTTCTGATTCCCTCCCCGCTCCCGCTGCCTAGCACTGGGGGGGGGTGGGGGTGGGGAGCAGGTCGCCAAGAGTCTGGTACCCAGTCCCGAACAGGCAAGGAGGCCGTGCAGAAACGGGTTGGTGGGCGGTGCGCAGGAGCCATCCGCAGAGCGAAGGCGCGGAGCGGCAGGAGGCGACGCGTGCGGGTCCAGGGCTGCACCCGGGCGTCCGCAGCGGGCAAGCCGGCACACGCCCACCGGCTGCGGCAGCGCCCGCTGCGGACGTCCTCCCCGTGGGTCCCGGGAGAGGCAGCCGCTGCCCTCAACTCTTGTTCTCCGGGCGGAACAAAACAGCCTTCCAACAAACCTAAAAGCTCCACCTCTACTCCCCCGTGAACTCTTCTCCTAATTGGCAGCTCGGCGCTTGGGATGATGCGGGCGGCTGCGGGCCGGCCCTGCAGTGCCAAACCGCAGCATCCCGGTCGGGCTGGAGAGGGAGAGGGAGAGGGAGAGAGAGAGGGCTGACCCGGCTGGACCCCAGGATCCTGATCCGTGGGGGACGCCGCCCCTCCTGCGGCTGGAGCGCTTCCAGAGCAGAGGCGCAGCGCCGTACCGCTCGCCCCGGCGTCCTCGCTCCAGCTCCGGCTCCTCCTCCTCTCCAGCTCCGGCTCCTGCAGCCGGCTCCGAGAGGCTGGAGGGCGCGCCTCCCCCTCCCCGTCCTCCCCCTCGTCTCGCTGTCTCGTGGCTAACTTTCCGGAGCCCTGACCCGCGGCGCGGAGCTCCCCCGGCAGCTTCCGGGCGGAGAGCCCGGCTGTGCCCACTATCCCATCCCAAGCCCTCGGAGCGCTCCGGAGAGAACAGGATCATGTCTTGGGCTGGGGACCAAGGCAGTACCCTGGCGAGATGGCTGGGCGCTGGGCTGTTGGGTAAGAGAGCTCCAGCTCTGTCTTTTCTCTCGCCTCTTTCTTACCCCCACCCCGCCCTGAGGCAGGGTGACACAGGAGAAGAGAGGTACCTTAGGCAAGGTGTCACCAAATGAGTGGAATGACCGTCTCCCTGCTGGACGCTTAGTTTTGCGACTATGCTCCCTGGAAACCCTGAGCATGCGCCCCCTCCCCCCAGCCACCCTGCCTATGAGTTTCCTGCTCCCTCTGGTGCTTTTCGGAGCCAGGTCTTGGAGCTGCAGCAGGGTAATCTTCCTGAGTCCCCAAGTTAAGGCATGCTGGTGGAGGGGTCTGTTGCCTCGCGTGTAACAGGGGTTCGGGGGTGGGGATTGCAGGTGGAGTAGTCTCTGCTTCTTTTGCCAAGAGACATGGGCTTCCTTCCCTGGCAGCAGCGATGCACCAGTTGTGGGGGGGGCAAGGGTCTCCCCCAACCCTTTTTAGGTTCTTTCTTCCACCTTCTGTCTTCTCTGGTGTCACTAACACTCTATGCCAAATGCTGGAAGGGCTTGGAAGGACCTCTAGGATCCAAAGCCATCTTTTAAGAAGGGCCTTGTCCCTCTTCCTGTAAGGGGTTTCTTTGGAGGAAGACTTGTTTGGCCTGCTCCTGGCTCCTCAATTTGGAGAAGACTGCGAAGAGAGAGGAGTCAGGTCCAGAGGACAGGAAGGGTATAGAATATTACGGTTATCTATTAATATTCACACGATGGTTTTGAATGTCAACCTCCAGGAGATTAGGCAATAGTATTTATTAGTCCAGAATGAAATCTACACAGCCTGACTTCCAATGTAAGCTGACTCCCTCTCTGGCACCTGTGCCTCTTCCTGTTTATCTATGTCAGGTTTGGTTTTTAGACGGCTTGCCCCTCCCCCCTTCACTGGGTGAAGCACATGGTGGAGGTGTTTGTGCTGGAAACAGGGGACAGAGATCTCTGATGGAAGCCACTGACACCCTTGCAATGAAAGCCATTGCAGACCTGTCCTAGGGGTACCTGTCAGGTGTTTGGGGTGGTGGTAGGGGGGACAGCATTCTCTTCGCTCCTGAACTCTTTCACTCAACTCCCTGAGGTGAGATACACACTGGAGTTTTGTCCCGTTCCGTTGGCACAGGTGTTATACGGGTTTCATGGCGACTCTTTAATGCCCAAAGCTCCTCTTTGTGGGATGGGTATAGTGTCATTCCCCTGGAGTTCCCACTTGGATCATCCCAGGCCTCTCCTGTGGCCATAGAGCGAGGGATCTCCAAGGCACCGAAACTCCAGTCTTTAAGCCAGCCACTTCATGTCACGGGTGGCCTTACCCCTGTGTTTGGGTGGCCAAGGGAGTACCAGGCCTAGCACTACTAGAATATTCATGGAACCAGGCATCTGTGGACATCCAAGAGCGCTCTAGGAAATGGGGATGGGGTCGGGTGAGTGGAGAGCATTGGCATGAGTGGGGCAGGGATTTTGAAAACCATATCATGGAGCTTTCCAAAAAGTGAAATGTACAGTCCAGAGGGGGATGGGAACCTGCCTAAGGGCACATGGCCAATTGATGGTCAAGTGGGACAGAATCCAGGCTGTCTGGTGAGAGGGAAGGTCAGTGGGACTTGTGTTTAGGGCCTGAGCATGAGTGAGGCCCTGGGACACGGCATGGAAGCCTATGGGTGGGCTCGAGCAGTGTTCGGAGCTTTGTCTTCACAGTTGGGGACGAAGTGTTGGGGACACTGTGTCCCAGAAGCTCTCTCTCCCTCTCTCCATATCAACTTCGCAGACTGAGACCCCAGTGGTTTTTGAAGACACAAACACGACAGTCTTTTCTGAACCCGAGAGGCGGCTGGCAAGGCCGCATCAGTGTGGCTGAGGTTTATGAGGGTTCTAGTCTTTTCCTAAGTACGTGACTGGTGCTGTGCTGCTCTGCCCACCCCTTCCTTGCTCCCTGATTTGCTTAATTGCCATGATCTGTGGTTAATTAGCACTTGTGAGGGTGCCGTGTGGCACAACCCTCTCTCCCCTGGTATGTATTTATTAAGGGCTTGTTTAATGAGTGCGCAATTAAGGAGAGGGTGTCGAGTCCCACTCAGAGGAAGAAAGCAGCAAGGATAAACGGGGAGATTCTGGAGAAGAGGGGGGAGGGGCAGGGGCCAGTCTGCACCTGGAAAAAATGATTAATCCTTGGGTCTGCAGAAGGCAAGCTTATGGGAACAGGCAGGGCTCGGTCCCTAAGCCCTCCCGACTGGTTGCCTCCTAGTGGAATCATCACCTTGCCCTGTGGCTGCTCCTTGAGGGGATGTAGGTGGATCCCCTTAAGCTATGGATTCGGTGGGCCAACACCACAGCCCAGCGGCCTCTGAAAAGAGGGACAGACCTACTGTTTGGACTTGTTTGTAAAGCTGGTTTCACCAATCCAGTGCTGTCTCAGGGGCACGCTTCTAACCTGGCAAAGCTCCTGGGGGTGGGCAGGAAGCAGGCAGGCAGGTTGCCTAGGATGAGGGAGCAGAAATCTCTCCTCTGCCACAGGGCCCAGGAGCCTTGCCTGGCCCAGCCCTGCTTCGCCAGTCCCCAAGGCCTCTCTCCCAGGAGGGGTCCTTGTCTCACTGCCCTCGGCCCACTTTCTTCCTCCAAGCTCTAACTCTGAGCCATTCTTCCTCCCTGGGGCCAGAAAGTCTCGGCTGAGCTTCTGTTCTCCATGCCCCACAAGTCCTTGGAGCTAAACTTAGAGCAGGCGCCATTTTGCCCTCCTTCGGCCCCCTACCCTGCCTGGGTGTGACTGATCTCTGGATATGGGAAAAGATTATGGGATGTTCCCAGCCTGGCATTGATCTTGATATGGATGGTGGTAGCCATCAGATTCCTGTTGCACATTTAATAGCGTAGCCACATGCTGAATGCTTTCTGTATGTGGGTGTGTACATGTGTGTGTGGGTATTTGTGAGGAGGCTGGAAGTTAACCCTGTTTGCCATTCCTCAGGTGAGACAAGGTGTGCCATTTGACCTGGAGCTTCGGGATGAATAGACAAGTCTGGTTGGCTAGTGAGCCCAAGACACTGTCCTCTCAGTTATAGAATTATCAACCCACGCCACTGTACCCATTTTTTTTTTTAAACACAGTTTCTGGAAATTGAACTCCTGTTTGCTAGTAAGGACTTTCCTTATTGAGTCATGTCCACAGCCCTAAATGTTTTCTAAAGTTTTGGGGCAACTTGTGAATGCCAAGTCTGCCCTTCTCCCTGGACAAAATCCCAGCAGGGCGGCAGGAGCTAGGGACTTGGGAAGATGGCTGCTGAGAATGGCTAAATGACTTAGGGAAAAAAAGCCAGGCTGTGAGGATGGAGGTGGGACTCCGCAGAACTCTGACTGAGGAGACTTCATTGATCCCATAGCGCCAGGAGGAGGCCCAGCTCACAGACATGCCCAGCACCCATGCTGGCATTCTAATGAGTTAACTTTTGGGCAAAGCAAGAAAGTCCTTTACTCAGGGAAATAGCCACATGGAAAGAATTCAAGACATGGTAGAAGGTGAAGGGATAAATCAATGTGTGAGTAGCCTGGAGACAGGCTTGGCTGACAATAGTAGTTGTTAAGAGAAACCGGTGGTGCCCTGGTTCTGTCCAATACTGATATGGGGACAGCCCTGCCTCTTTCAAACAATATCCTCTTCCCTAGGATGTCCCCTTCCCGAAGTCCTTGAGTGCTATGCAGCCTCCTAGTTTGGCTCCCTACCAAGCTTGAGAGGTAGGAAAGCTTACCGCTGTTCCTGCATGGCTCTAGGGATGCGCTTGCAGGGTTTGGCACCTCTGACTTTGTCAAGGTCAGCAGGCAGACTGGGACCTGCTGACCAGTCCCTTCCAGCACTGGCTAACCTGCTGAAGTAGCTCTGCAGGGGCCTGTTAGGAGATCGTGACCCGTACTTCTTCCCAAGCTCAGCCTCACAGAAGCCTGTGCCAGGCTGCAGGCAGGACTTCCTCATGCCCGTCTGGGTGGGCTGTGCATTGCAGAAGCAGCCAAGCTTGCCTGCTGTGCCTCAGCTTTCCACCTGGGCAGGGAGGACTCCGTGGAAACCATCGATTCCCTTATCCCCTCCAGGCTAGTGAGGACACAGCAGCGCTTCGATCAGAGTCCTGAGCGAATTAGATAGAGTTAAGTCATCTGCATCGGGCAGAAATGCGCACTGTGCGGTGAGCCAGAACTTAAAGAAATAGTGCTCTTCCTTCTGAACTTTTTCTCTGCTCTTTTCTGCTTCTGTCTATTTAAAGCCACCAAAAGCAGTTTCTCAAACCAGGCTTGTAATCCCAGCACTTCAGGAGGTGGAGGTAGGAGAATGAGAAGTTCAAGGTCATCCTTGGTTGCATAGCAGGTCTAGTCTGTCCCATATGATTCTATCTCAAAAACAAACAAGGTACCATCTCCCCTTTGATGTGCCTCTGCGCTCTGGAACCTCTCGTTTGAGCAGGAGTTGGGAGGGAGGAGTTTGGCCCCTGGAGACAAGGCTTTCCAACTTCATCAGGAGCCTTGTTCCTGGGCCCAGGCACTAAGCTCAGAGGAATTACAGGGAGCTTGCTCCCTCCTTCCTTCCATTTTTGCTTCTTCCTTCCCCCCCCCCCCCCCCCCCCTTGTATTTTTTGAGACAGAGTCTCACGCTGAAGCAAAAGCTGGTCTCGAAGCTGTAGCAATCCTCCTGCCTCTGAGTTCTGGGAGTCCAGTTTAGAAAGCTTCTTCTTTTTCTCTATAACCATAGAGGTCTGTTTATGTTTTCATGTGTGAATGTGGGCATGCTTCAGTGTGTACATGGAGGCCAGAGCGCACGTCCTTGCCTTCTACCTCGTTTGAGGCCTCTGTTGTTTTCCTGCTGCATATACTACGAGGCTGGCCAGCTCACGAGCCTCCAGGAATCCTCCAGTCGCTGTCACCCATCTCTTGATGCTAACACTCAAAATTACCCATGCTTTATGCTACACACTGGCTTTTACATGGGTGCTGGGGATTTGAACTCAGATCCTCACGCTGACATGGCAATCACTGTTACTCACTGAGGCGGCTCTCTAGCCCAGAAGCTGCCTTTCTTCAGCACTTCCCTGTCTTCTGGTCTGTATCCTGGTTCTGGGCTTAGGGAGGCATGGAGAGCAGAGCTTCTGGCTCTTACCCTCTAGTGCTGGATCTAAGCTGGACAATGGACACCTAAGACCTAAGACCTCAGAGGAGAGATGGGGTAGAGGACAGCAGAGATAAAACAAGCAGCAGGGACTCCAGGGATCACTGACGCCCTCCCCCATCAGAGCGGCTCTTGGGGACAGCAGATCTCTTTCTGGGTGCTACCTCTTCACTTCCTGGGTATGTGGCCTTTGCGGGGTTTGTTTCCTTGAGGCATTTACTGGGAATAATAGGAATAACGGGTTAAGGGTTAAGAATGAAAATGGGCATAGTCTATCAAATACACCCATCCTATCATACAGTGAGTACTGAGTTCCAAAGAGGCCAGTCGCTGTGTGGCTGCTAGAAAAACCACTTTACCTCTCTGAGCCTCAGTTTCATCATCTATAAAAGGAGAAAACACGTACTGCCATTTGGTATCCTATTAGAAGTGGGGGTGACTGTGTGGGAGCCCTCCAGCATAGCCATTCTCAAATTGTGGCCTGCACCCACGTTGTTCCCACTGTTCCCTGGGAGCTACAGCGAGGCCAGTTCTGAAGACTCACACAGCTCCAGGGCCAACCCACACTTGCCCATGCCCGTCCCCAGTTGATTCTGATGTCCCGCAGCATGGAAAACCATTGCAATATCCCTGATGCATTACATGCACACACACACACACACACACACACACACACACACACACACACACACACAGCTGCTAATTGAGGTAATCTAGCGAGAGCTGGAGCGGCAGAGAGTAAATGCACCTATTTTAAGCATGTGAGGAGGGGTTTCTGTCTCCCTCTTTGACCATAAGGGAATCGCTGACTTCTCTAGGTTTGGCTTCCTTTGCAGTGTGGTCTATAATCTTAGACATGACGGGGTGGCAGAAAGGCGCCAGGCACACAACAAATGCTTCATCAATATCTGATCTATTGTCATCACAGACCATGGCGGGAGTCAGGACTGGGGTACTGGGCCATAGAGTACAATTTCTGACACATGTGTACAGAAGCAAAGGAAGATAAGGGGACCCCTGAGAGCAGGAGCAGGACCACCAGCACGGCTTGGAGAGCCTTGTCTGTCTTTTAGTAGCGTAGTCATTGCCTCTCGTGGGCAAAACAAGAGGAAATCGATTTATGATGCAGCACGAGGGAATTAAGTTAGACAATAAAGGGGTTTCCTGAGAATTAAGATGCGAGTGAGTGCTCACCTTCCCTACGGGCAAACAGAGGTAAGGGTTCTAAGGGTTCGGTGCGGATCTCTTACCCAGGAACGACCTTGAGGCAGTGGAGTTTCCCTGAGGAATGTGCCGGGGAGGAGGAGGTTTAGATTCTTTCAGAGCACTTAGGAGGAGGGCCAAGGCGAAGGCAACGCCTCCTAAGGCAGAGGGATGTCCTGTGGGGGAGAGGGTGTGGGAGGTAGAAGGATGTCCTGTGGAGGGGGTTGGGGCGGCCTCGGTGTGTGTGTGTGGAGGAGGAGGGGAGTGTGGGGGTCACTGTGGTTTCTGGAGTGAGGCTGCGGAGTGTGGCTGCCGGGTGATGGGGAGTCTGAGCTTCACAGAGTCGGGAGGGGACAAGCAACTGCTAGGTCCCCTATCCTGCAGCGTGCCAGTTCGAATGGCCTCTGCAGAGAGCTGAGCTCTGCTTGCTCCGCTCTGCGTCGCTGAGTCTGTGTCCCCTGAGGCCACGGTTCCATCCCGGCGGCTGGGTAATCATCCTGCTATCCTCGGGATCCCCTTGTGTGGTCGGAGGCGCTGGACCCACTAGCCAGGCAATGCCTAACCCTAAGGTGTTTTTGCCGCTAGCTCCAAGACATGGGCTGTGGCTATGGCGACCTGCGATCATGTCTTTCCTTCCACCCAAAGACGCCCTGGCCCCTACCCGCAACTCTCAAACGTCACCAGGGGTGCGCCCCAACCTAGGGAAATCCCCTGGGTGCAGGGGAATGGGGCGTTCTGGCACTTTCACGGCTTCTACTGGTGTCGCCCCCGACCTAGGCAAAGAGGTGGAATTTCAGGTTCCAGGTTAAAAAAAAAAAAAAAAAAAAAAAAAAAAAAGTCAGGCCCTCCTTTTCTTGGGTTGGGCTGACCCCTAGTGGTCATCTTGAGTACCACACGGGCCGCTACGGCTCAGAATTCAGTCCTGCTCAGGCCAAGTGGATATTGAAATGCATGGCCCAGGCCGCCTGGAGATGATATACACACCCACCTTCTCACCTGAGAAAGCCAAAGGTCTCTTCGCCTGGCAAAGTCACCCTTCTCTGAAGGACTGTGCCCTTCCAGAGTTTCCCGTGGAGGTTTATTAAGGAAGGTCTTGTCCCTTGAACAGGTCTCGTCTTGCTCCCCACATCTCTGTCATTGGAGGTCTCTGTGGGAAAGGCCACCACCATCTACGCTATCAATGGCTCAGCGATCCTGCTGCCCTGCACCTTCTCCAGCTGTTTCGGCTTTGAGAACCTCTACTTCAGGTGGTCCTACAACAACAGCGAAACATACAGGATTGTAAGTGGGGTGCTTGTGTCCTGCACCCTGTCTGTCCCCTCACCCGTGGATGCCTTCAAGCCCAGACTCTGGTCCCTTCTGAGATAAGTTCCACCATGTTGATCCACCTTTTGCTACCCTTTCTCTCGAAGTCCAGGCAGGAGCATTGTTAGGATGGTGATGCCAGAAGTTGGGGTCTGTTGGAAATTTTGGCTAGACCTTGTCTTTTCTTCGGGGGGGGGGGGAGGAACCTGCAAGTTGGCTGTTTGGAGAAAAATTAATGGCTTAACAATGAGAAGAAAGAGAGTGTTGGCTGAGGATTGCATGGAAGGACAGGAGAGGGGGCAAGAAAGGGACAGTGGGGGGGAGGGGAGCAGGTCGCAGATGCTGAAGGAGCTCTTTGAAGTCTGGCAGAGGTTCTTCTCCCAGAGTAACTGAACAGGCTCCAGGAGTGCAGCTGTGGAGGCATTAGACACTAGCCTGAGAGGATACTGATAGAGAGGGCTATGGTGTTAATCCAGGCCTCGACTGAAGGACAGGATGCGGCAGAGGATACAGTGTAAGTATGGAAGTAAAGGCTAGGTGAGATGTGCAGAGAGAAATGGTGTGTGTGTGTCTCTCTCTCAGAAGTGCTGTGTGGGGGAAAGGCTTTTATGAAAACAGCTCTGTTCCAGGGAGTCCTTGAGAAAAGAACACAGGTTTAGTTTGAAACAGGCAGAATCCAGGCGAGGCAGAGCCATCGTCACCGTGAGGGAGGGCAGAGGAAAATGAAGGGTCTTTCTGGGCATGCACATGGCTGGTTCTCACGGGTGGGCGCTGTGACGCTTGCTACTCTGATCCCCCAGCTCATCGACGGGATCGTGAAGAACGAGAAGTCTGACCCGAAGGTGAGGGTGAAAGATGATGACCGCATCACCCTGGAGGGTTCCACCAAGGAAAAGATGAATAACATCTCTATCCTGCTGAGTGACCTGGACTTCAGTGACTCGGGCAGATACACCTGCTTTGTGAAAAACCCCAAGGAGAAGGACTTGAACAACTCTGCCACTATCACCCTCCAAGTGGTTGATAAATGTATGTAGCGAGGTGTGTGTGTGTGGGGGGTGAGGGTAGTAGGGTAGAAGGAACCTGGGGTGCCCGTCTCAGTGTGGCATTGAAATGGCAAGATGGGCCATGTTGGCATGTCTTTGTTCTTTACACGCACACGCGTTACTGGAAGTTAGAAGAAAGTCAGCTGAGGAGTGGCTTGGGAATAGCGCTGAGCATCTTCCAGCCTTGATTTCCTTGTCTGTAAAATAGACATTTGGCTACCTTCAGCCAGGGTGGCTGTGAGGGACAGAGGAGCCAGCTGAGAGTGTTCGGTGGCATTAGACTCTCTCCATGTAGGTGGATTTTTGTAGGTGGTTTGTGTACCGCGTTGGCAAGCGCTGGGTGTCTGTCAGGTGTTGTAAAGGATGCTGTGATGGGTACTCGGTGTTCTTTTATGAGGAGTGTGTAGTTCAGAGTAAGACAAGCAGATGGACCGCCCCAAATGAATAGCCGAAGGGCAGATGCTTTCCAAAGAGATAGAAAGAGGCGTGATTCTCCCCTCTGGAACTGGATATGGGTGGGTCAATGAAGCAGGGAAGGTACTGAAGACAGGGAGCCGGGTAGCCGAATACCTCTCCACTCCCCGGAGGTGGTCAGAGAAGCAGAAGGGAATAAATAGGTGAGCAATTATATTGGGCATCTTGCAGCTGAGGGTCCTGGAAGATGGTGCCTTCTCCATGCCCCCACTCCAGTGACCATCTCAAGGAGCCCCTGGAGATAGGACAGCGGGAGCTGGATTTTAGGCTAGTCCAAGTGCGGGGGCCTGAGGCCATCCAGGGAGTTAGAACTGCAAACGCCATCACCCCTCCTATCAGTTTAGATTCCCGTCACTCTGCTCTATGCTTGGCCTCTGCAGAGGAGAAGAAGGGAAGGGGGCCAGTGCTGGTGGAGTGTTTCTGGGTGCCGCCGGGCTCTGGGTTAGCTCTGCGGCTCCTCCCAGGTGGCTGTCATCTATGGAGAGTGTTTCGGCCAGCCATTTACAGGGTCCAGTGATACCAGGACGGGAGCTTTGCTCCCTGCCTCCCACTAGCTGAGGAATCAATGCAATTAAACAAAGAATAGTGCTGTATAGAGGAGATGGAGCAACGGGGGGATGGGGGGGTGGGGGAGCCGGGAGGGCTCACAGGTGGCCAGGGAGTCCTTGCTGGGAGGGGTGACAGGAGCTGGGGTGGGGGGCTGAGAGGGTGGGGAGGTGGTGTCCAAAGGCCGTGGGAGAGGAAGCAGGGAGGATGGTTGAGGAGTGAGCTTGTGACTCAGAGGTAGGAGCTGTGGATCTCGCTCTGATTTACTTCGAAGTTTGTGTGTGAGTAGGTACTGGGAAGAGTGAAATGTATGAGAAGGTGTGAAAAGGCGGAAGGCATAGGCTCTGAAGCGTGCCTAACTGAATAGCACCGTGTTCTAGACCCTTCTTGTTAGGGTACTTTTAAAACTATTTTATTTACGTTCTTAGTCCTCTTCTTCCCTCTTCTACTCCAATCTCTTCCGACACCCCAGTATTGGGTAGAAGAGAAAAAAGGTTAGTGGGGAGAAGGGAGAGAGTTCTCTTAGGCTACTTCCTGCTAGTTGGTTATGGTCATCTGGTTCCTTGGGGGAGTCCAGTCTTCACTTCAGGAGATCTCCAACTTCTTCTCAAACTGCATCAACAGCAGTTAGGAGCAGCAGGGGATAGCACCAGCAACCTTTCTCGGAACTCTCTCTCTCAACCTGGGCGCTGGCGTTTTTTCCCTCTCCAGAGTCCTCAGAGTTAAACTATCTGCAGCTGGCAAATTCCACTCTCAGAGCCTGCACCAGCCAAATAGTTTCCCACTGTGGATTATCTGAATCAGTCTCATATCCCACACCTGGGATCAAAACAAAACCATGTTTACATTGCCAACACCTTCTGTCTTGGTTGACCCAGAGGGTCATGGCCTAGAGGTAGACTGCAGTGTGTGTGGTGGGCATACCCGATTCTCCCCCCTCTCTGCTCCTCCTCCAGTGGAAGAAGTGGACAACACGGTAACGCTCATCATCCTGGCTGTGGTGGGCGGGGTCATCGGACTTCTCGTCTGCATTCTGCTGCTGAAGAAGCTCATCACCTTCATCCTGAAGAAGACCCGAGAGAAGAAGTGAGTTGACTCTGCATCACGCCCGGCTGCTGTCAGCCCGGTGCCCCTCTCCTGTGGCCCTCTCATGCCGTGTCCATTTACCCCTGCCAGCCTCCAGTCTCTTCATTCTCCACCTCCTTCTGATGCCACTGCTGTCCTTTGCTATCCCTATAGCCCTTGCCCCAACTCCTGGCTCCCTTTCAACCTCTCTTCACCTTCTCTTCCTCATCTGGCTATCTCTTTTTTCTCACTGTCCCATTAGTCTCTCCCTATCCATTTGTACCACACACCCTAAAGCATACTATAGGATTTGGGAAGTATATATATTTGAGACAGGTTAGCCTTGGCTGTCCTTTGCTTTGTTGACCAGGCTGGCCTTGAACTTACGGAGATCTGCCTGCCTCTGCCTCCCTGAGCTCTGGGATTACATGTGTGCGCCACTGCACCTGGCTAGGAAGCCTATTTATTTTCATTTTATCAGAGAAAATGTTAGTTCATGCATAGGAACGCTAGAATGGAAAGACTCTTCTAGGGAGACGAGAAATGCTGAAAATTCAAATGAGGGGAGCAGAAACAGTACCTGGCAGCCAGACATGGGGGCTCAGGCCTGCAATCCCAGTAGTTGAGAGTCAGGCTTAGAAGGATCCCCTTGAGTTCAAGGCCAGCCTCGTGTACACTGTGAGGCCTTGTTTCAAGAGCCAAAGCTAAACTAAACTAAACTAAACTAAAACCTGGAAGGATGACATGGCTTCCTAGGAAGTTCTAGGATAAACGCAGTTATAAAAACAGACATCTGGAGTCAGGGATGTATGGAAGTGGTACAGTGCCTGCCTAGCATGTGTGAGGCCTTGGGTTCAGTATACATTTTTACTGGAAGGAGGAGAGAGATGGGCAGGTATAGAGGGTGTGGGCCCGGGCCCAGAATTTTCTGGAACAGTGTCAGGCTGTCTTTAATGCAACAGGTAGAGACTCTTGTAAAGCCAGAGCAAGGGGGAAAAGAAGGCATCAGAAGGGAACAGATGTTAGAAAGCTGTGTTCTAAGCAAGACAGGTGATGAGACAGGCTGTCTCTGGAACAGAATAAAAAAGAGAAGGCCAAGGAGGGGGCACAGGACTGGGCACAGAGAGCCATGCATCCACCATCCCATGTTCCTCTCACCGGCCTCTCTCTCTCTCTCTCTCCCTCCCTCTCCAGGAAGGAGTGTCTTGTGAGTTCCTCTGGGAATGACAACACAGAGAATGGGCTGCCTGGCTCCAAGGCAGAAGAGAAGCCACCCGCAAAAGTGTGAAGTCCCGTTCGGGGCCAGGCAGTGCAGGGAGCCTCACTTTCTGATGGTGACGTCGATGCGGAGTCCTGTCTGTAGAACCCACGTACTGAGATGTGTGCTGCTTGGCCCAAACGCTAGTCTCTCTGAGCAGGAAGGACCTGGCCCTGCCCAGCCTGCGCTGCCATTCCCTCCCCAGCCTGGCCTTCCTAGAGGCAAGGGTTGGCTGGGGGAGGAAGCCTACAGGAGGTTGAAGAAAAGGAAAGGAGGGGCTGGAGCGGTGTGGAAGGATTGGTCCCTGGGGCCCGGGAGAATGGGATCTTCTTTAGACTGTCTCACTTCTGTGAATCCTCACTTTCCCCTCACCTTTCCTTCTTGTCTTTCACGAGGAAATCGGGGTGATCAGTGAGGGCTGTTCCCAAAGCTGGGTTTTGGAGATGGGTGGAGGGTGAGCACTTAAGATGCTGGGAACGTGCCAGAACTCTGGGATGGAGTCTGCTGAGTGCTGAGCCGGTTGTGAGAGGCAGGCTGGGCTTTGAGGACTGTCAGACATCTGGAAGTTCCTTCAGAGGAGACTTCTCCTTCCCCTACCCTGAAATACCTGCACACTGTTCCAGCTCTCTGTCCAGCCTTCTGCTCTGAATATGTAGACCCTCCAGCTAGGCCTGGCTGCCCTGGTCTTCAAGTATCCCAGCCTACCTAGCCTGTCTTTGCTCTCTGGGCTGCAGCTGTGGAGGAGGCTTGTTGGGAGGGGGCAGCCTCCATCCTTCCTAGAGCACTGGGGTGCTATTTGCATATTTTCTGGCTTTGCTCTTTGGCTTTCAGAGGTGGGAGAGCAGTGTCCTTGACCTCCCAGCCTTTGGAATGCCTACCCCAGCCCTACAAGACTGACAGACCTTATCCTTGGCATGGCAGGACCATGCCACCTGGTACTCTCAGACCTTAGTTTTCCATACTTCTCCCTTCTCTTGAAAGAGCTGGTGTGGCCACATCTCTAGGTTTCCTAGAACCTTTGCTCCCTCTCTGTCCCTCCAGCATGCCTGGCTTTCCTCTGTCTCCTAGCCTGCTCACCCCCAGCCCTGGGTCTGCCTTCGCCTCAGGGACCTTTGTTGCCAGATGAGAAGGCCCTTGGCTATTCCAGCTTCTTTCTGCCCAGCCGGGCCAGCTCCTCACTCAGGCTGAGGAGGAGAGGGAGAGGGTGCTTATACCCTCTCTCTACTTTCTTCAGAGCCAGTTTGCACAGCCCTTGAGTGTTGGGCTAGATTGTGCCTTAGCTTCCTGAGTTCTGCTTTTTAGCCCCCATTCCTTTGGTTCACACCCCCTGACTTAATTGCACAGTTTGGTGTGTTGTTGTTGGGGCTCCCCAGCTCCCTTCTCCAAGGTCATGGAGAAGGTTATGAAGCTGGTGTTGTGCAAACAGTGGCCCTGTGGCTGGTGGCAGTCTTGCTAACACATGTGGGTTTGTTTTCTTTCTTGTCCCTGATACAGAGCTGGGATGGCATTCGATGTGGGACCTTCAGATGGGTTTGATTGGGTGGGTCCCTATGCTACATGAGATGTAATAACAGGGGGTACCCAAACTCCCTCTTCCTCATTGGATTTCTGATACCCTTGGCACCCTAGAAGATGGAGACTAGTCTTTCCAGGGGCTATAAAGACTCTGCCCAGGAGTAGCTGAAGGCTCCCAAAGTGAAAGTTGGGGGAGACTAAGCTGGAGTAGGGCCTGTAGGGTGCCTGTGGTTATGGCTAGTGTCTCTTGCCCAAGCCAAGGGGCTCATGGGTCCTTGCCTCCTCTCCTCCTGTCCTTCTTTATCCAGAACCTATCATGGGCCTGGATAAAAAGTACTCTTCTCCTGCTTTTTATATATTTATCTGAGCAAAGTCTCATGTAGCCCAGACTGGCTTCCAACTTCCTCTGTGGCCAAGATTGGCCTTGAACTCCTGATCTCCTGCCTCCATCATCCAAGTGCTGGGATGACAGGTGTGAGCCAACACCCTGAGAGCAAACATGGCGCCAGAACCTCCAGCCATTCAGGAAACTCCAGCTGCCTTCATGTAAAACTGCTTTCTTCCCCAACATTGGGAGAGGCACAGTGCTGTGGGCTCTTCTCGATTTCCTGAGAGGAAGCCAGGGCATACAGAAGAAGAGAGGAAGGGAGCCACCCTCCCTTCCTCCTGATCACTTATAGGTGGCTCTTGCAGCTTCTCCCATCTACCCAAAGGGTGAAATAATAGCTACCTCACAGGACTGTTGTGAGGCTTGGTGAGGTCCCCCCACCCCCTGGCTTGGAAAGGCATTGGGAAACAAAGCTAATAAGAGAGCGTTCCCTGTATGCCCTGTCTTCATCTTTAGTTTGGTTCCCTGTATGTCCTGTCTTCATCT